ACATTTTTACCTTTTCTTTTTTATTTCCAACAGGGCTTTAGGATTTCAGTCAGTTATGACAACTCCAACACAACCTCTAATCTTAACAGAAATATTCACAGCTTGGAGACGGGAGTACCGTAATTAAAATCACATCCTTGCAACGACTTAACTTGCAAACAGAGATTGTGGAGCAACTTTAACTGTGACTCTCACCTTGCTGATCATGGTGGTCAGGTCTCCTCCATTGAGCAGCGGGTTCTGGGCGTCTCCCACTCTGGATGGGTCTTTAAGGGCTTTCTCATTAGAAAACGTTCGCCACTCTGAGCCAACATCAATTACACGGTCACCTGAGGAGAAACAATTTGGTCAGATGAAATAAAAGATTGAGAATAAGATCAACTCTAAGGAGAAAGAAGTTCAACGTTTTAATCGTGAATTCTAACCAGCTTTGATTTGCTGGATGAGTATAATGAAAGTGTGTTTAAAAGATTATTTCAATGTAGATTGTGTTCTACTGAGTGACATTCTAATTCTGTAATATTATTCAGAAACATCTTCACTCTGGATTAACACGTAGTTAGTTGACTGTTGGTTAAACTCAAAACAATTTCAAACATCAGACTTGTTTGTCTCCTTTTCACTATATCCCTGTGGAATAATTAAGCAGAAGATTGTGCAGTAATCAGCACAATTCCCTTCTGTAAATACTAAGCAGTTGTCCTAGGTTTCAGAAGCTCTAAATACTGTGTCCATCCTCCTGTATTGTCACTACGAGGCTGTTTACACATTAAAACTGGATCACACATACACACCATTATCTTTTTCCTCTTTTCTCTCATCACCGTCTTTCATGAGATCTAATCAAATGTTTATTCAAAGGAAAAAGAGATCACTTCAGCTCTTATAAGAGAGAAGCTGGCGTCTCTCAATTTCCCGTCTAACCTGGTCTGTGCTCAGGGGGCTCATTAAAGGTGACCTGTGTTCCCTACAGCCTTGTCCTCAGTCTACAACACTTGCTCAAAGACTTGCATTTCATGCAAGTATATGCCTTGATGGTCAATTGGTACATTTATAAATTGCAGATGCATAACACTTCTCCCCTCTAGTTTAAGTGACACATAACAGCCTCAGATCACTTATATTGCAAAGAACCTTTCTCCTCTCCATGTGACAGAAGATTATACAAAATGTCAATAATTATGTGTATTGATTATCCAAAATTATGCAAACATTCTCTCTGAGAGGAGGAAGACTGATGACTGAGAATATTTGTCTACGACAGATGGGAAGTAGTTGAGTACAGGAAATCAAAACCGAAAGGGAGGTGGTGTTTTTTCGCTGAGCACTCTCTGATTCAAATACAAATGTGCATGTCTTTGTGAGGTAAACACCGACCTACTACAAGGCCGCATTCGGGGCATATCATGTCCCCTGCTCTGTAGTCCTCCACCAGGATGGCATCAGGGTGGTTGGGACACTGAACTCTGGGAAGGGCTAAAGCGTCTCCACTGGAGGAGGAACACAAACTGTTAGATGATGAGGAAATCTCAAAATATAAGAAAAATACAAGAAATGGTGGAAAATGAAAGGATGGGGTTAAGAAAGATGACATTAATGTTTAAATGCGCGGATGTGTTTTCACTTTCCTATCGAAGAGAAATGTGTGAATATACGTCGGCAACCACCCCTAAGAAAACCACTGCTTTATAACATAATCAAACATTTAAATATGTATTTCCAAATGTCTATTTCAATTCCTTGTATATAAAGATATTTAGACACACACTTTAATAGCTTCTATTTCCCGCTTTAAGGAAAGTGTTATATTAATTAATATTAAATCCAATCTAGATCTTACAATATATCATAAATAAACACGTGGGAGATTAGAAGACCCATCAATACAATATATATTAACATATATCTAAGATCACACAACTTTTAAATCCGAAGAAATTAAAATTAAACAAATGCTAAAAAATATTTATACTTAACCTTTAATAACGAATTAAAATCAAATCTGTAATGATTAGCTGCCGATGGACGGATTGACTTATTAATGGAGACTGTATTTCGAAAATAACAGATGATCTCGTTATTGAAAGTCAAAATCAGAACATCGCAACATTATTTCCTCTCCGTGACACGAACCACTAGAGACACATTGACAGTAAGTTGGTCGCAACACCACAACACACGACAGGTAAACACAAATAGTTGCTCTGCACAAATAAAGTCCGTCTTCACGGAGGACTGACTTTGACGTCACGTAAACAAAGTACACAGACTCAAAGGAAGCTAATGTCTTCGAAACCTTCAGTTCAAACGTTTCCGCTTCACACATCATTAGCTCGACGTGCTAAACAGCTACATTAGGTTGGAATAAAAGATGCTATGAAACCAGTGGATGCTGACGATGATAACACAGCGAAGCTATTGTTAGCGGGGGCAGGGCTGCGAGGATGTAACGGTGGACACACGCAGTGACTTCTGGCAACGTCTCACCGGCTAGCTAAGCTAACTAGCTGCTACCTAGCACAATACATCGTTCGCCGGAGTGACAAGCGGGTGGTTTTCGTGAGCAACGCTAGTGTCTCTCGTCTACTTCGGTCTTGAATAACAGTGTGGGAGCCGCAGACAGAGACTACAGGGGGGGTTTGTGGTTGATAAACGGGGCTGCTCACCGGCTCGTCGACGCCATGTCACTGCTCACTGCGTCCGTGTGTCAGAGAGGCAAATGCCTGCGGCCCCCATATTTATAACCTTCTCTGGTCATGTGTCTGTGAGAGTACGGGAAGTCAAAGAGTCCAACCCACGCCCATTGCGCTTTACTTCTTTGTTCCCAGTTCGTTGTTGTCAGAGGAGGATTTTGAGTTTGTTTTTAACAGTAACTGTGGTAAACACTGTTCTGGTTTGATGTAGTTACACGAGGGATTGATACAAAGTGGTGCTCTAACAGATATTAATGGATTGATGCTGGATTGAATGTTTTTGTGTCCAAGGCACCTGGAGATGAGGCTGCACAGACAACAAAAGATTATCAATGACACGTCAACACATATATATAATAAACATTTGATATCATAAATAATATATATATATATATAAATGTGTACATTTGCATGAATTGTGTCCATAAGTGATCCTTGATGAAAATGAAAATAAGAGCAATAACACCCAACTGGAGTCATTCATAATGGTTTATTGATTATTTCAAACTGGACTTTAATTATGTTTTGAACTTTATGTGTCACAAGAGACAGGGTTCACAATTATTCATGTTCCGTTGACCTGCTGTACAATGAGATAGAATAGAAGAATATCTGGTTAGTAAACCAACAATACTGTGGCTCTTACTTCACAATTAGGGCTTAATATTATTGTTATTTCTAAAAAAAAATGTTAAGAAGCAATTTGCAAACAACAGGCCTGTAAAAGAAAGTATTAACTGCCAATCAAAGCAGAGCTTAGAAAGTACAAACATTAATGTGTAATGTCAGTGTGGTTGCCACATAGCTACATGGGAACACACGACCATAATCAGCTGACAATATTACAAAGTGCCGCACAAAAGAATGAACAACAGGATTTAAAGGCAGTGACAGATTCAGAAACCTTTGCATTGCAGCATGAAATCTCTAAACTGTATGGATTCACTCCCAAACAGGCCAACTGACTTAACAGACTTAAGATGTTGCTGTCTGACTGTGCCAGCCTGTGTCTGTACCAGTCTGTGACTGCACTGCTCCTGGGCTCCACACTGAGGGTCTGTGAGAAAAACCACCAGAGCCACAAAGAGCTGCTTGACTCAAATCTATCTGTATTTAAATGAAATATCAATAACATAAACTACTTGCTTTGTGTGGCAACGTGAATGCATTAATAGCATTTTCAAAAATCTATGCTCTGTTTTGAAATCTGAAGTAATAAAATACACTAATCCATTTTCACAACAGTTTCAGTCAAATTTGACAGTACATCAAGACAACAGCAGGTGGAGCTGAATTAAAGAAATGGACCAGACACTTAAAAAGCTCTGCAGCAATACTCATTGGCATTAAGGACATAGAAGTATTTCAAATTATTTAAGATTATATTTATTTGAATAGTAAAAAAGTGAAAGCGTGAGATTAAAAAGCATCACATATTGCATCGAGTCAATGCTTCTACATTTTGAGCTGTGCCAGTAAAAAAAAAGAAGCTACATCAGAGCTGAACAATCTCATCCAGTATATGGCAAGTGTTGGCAGTTCATGGTGATATGGATGTCTGAGTCCAACCTGAGTCATTGTGAGTTTACAGTCTCGATATGACCTTAAATGTACAAAAACCAAATTAATACCCAGCACATCCAACAGATGCTCCATGGGCTCGAGATACGAAGAATTTGTTGTCCAAGTCAACTCCTTGAACTCTTGGTCATGTTGCTCTGACCATTCAGACACATTTTATTCAGTCATACGACCGGGCCACCTTCTTCTATCACTCCACGGTCCAGTTGTGATGTCTATATGCCCCCAATGCAGGTGTTTTCAGTGGTGGACATGAGACAGCATTAACACTAATGACAGATGCCAGTGTAACAAGATGATCAATGGTGTTTACGTCACCTGTCAGTGGTTTTAACTGGTTTATACCTGAGAATCTTCTATTGAGTACATTCAATCCCTCGTTCTCTCCTCCACATGCCCAACCCTAATCCCAACTTAATCCTGAGTTTGCAACCCCATTGTGTGGGTGTGTGAGATAACTCTGTGTTTACCATACCCAGAGTTAATTAGTTACCATAGAAACAGATTTATTTGTGTGTGTTTGTGGTGACAATCTGAATGACTGTTTATTTTTTGCTACTTCAAAACTTAATTTGTGTTAAAGTGATGTGCACAGTTCAACCACTTGACTTTATGACTGCCAAACTGCCCAGTGCATTCTTAGCAAATCAGTGAGGGAGACCCATATTAAATAATTTACACCTCACCAAGCCAATTATGCACATGCTGAACTGGTTGCCATGGGAATCTGGGCCCCTCAGCTGTTGGCCCCATTACCTTCACAAACAGGAAACCCAATACTGCCCCACCATTGTCCCCACTGCCACCCAGTATGACAACACAGTCCATTGTGATGTCTTTCAACTCTTTTCCTCACCCTCACCACACAAACCAAATGCATTGAGACGCAGTTTGACATAGACAAGACAGTGTGTTCCACAGTAAGGGTCATTATGGGTCACTGTACAAATTTATATCACGTGTCACATGTCTGATTTTAGTGGAAATCCCAGAAGATTGTTTAAAAAGAATTTATATGACGAAAGCCAGAACGTTTAGTGAGTTTACACACACACACACACACACACACACACACACACACACACACACACACACACACACTAATACACAAACATACATATCTTTGCCTTTGTATTTGGATTCTTTAAAGGTCCACTATAAGTTTAACTTTCACAAGACTTCACTCTGAGCAAACGTCAGGCCCCATGGCTTAAACAGGACGCTGACTAAATCAGTCATTAGTGTAACCAGCCTGCATGTGTTGATGTTTCACATCCACATTTTGAAACCTGACAGGCTACTGCAGGCCTCAGTGGTTGTTTTTCTTTCTTTTTTTTCTTTCTTACATTCAAAGTACAGGAACAGCATGAGTGAGAGCAGAGTGGTAGCAGCCAGCAGCCAGCAGCCCAGGACCGGTTGAAACCTGTATGGATTGCAAGTGAGGAGACACTTCCTCCACCCAGTGCATCATGAGAGCTGTATGTGATGCATGAGTTCAGCACTCTGGGTCCTATCGACTGTTGAGTTTACCAATACCTGTAATAAATGTAGATTGAACAATGTCTAGATAGATGGTGGCACAAAGTACAAACAATACTGCCATGTGCATGATTGTGTTGATAACAGTTAGGTCTGAGCGTAACGACACAGTGAAGCGTGTCAGACATGTGTCCTGTGGACAAAAGGAACATGTGAGAGGTTTTAATTAGTCAACAAAGTTATTTCAGACAACACCAAGAAGCACTCTGTGGTGTCTGGGTTTGAGGGGGAAGCTGGTGTTGCGTTCAAGTTGCGTTGGAAATATGGTTTACACTTAGTGTCCTTATGAAAACTAAATTTAAACACTCATCTCCACTTCTCCACTACTATTTATATATTAGTTTTTTTTTCATTTGCTGAATAGCCACATAATTTATTATAGGTAAGTATAGAGCGACACTGACTACATACTCTGGTTGGAGTAGGAGCTAACAACAGTGGCCATGCAAATACATATGATCATGATGAACAAACAAAAGTCCAGTGTATATCACCCTAAACCACAGCCTTCACTCAGGAGCAAAACAGAGAAAAGAAAAAACTATGTGTCATTTATCGCGATAATTATCAATATCGATATCTTTATTTTGCCTGTATCGTCCTGTGGTTAAAACACTGAGCATCATAAACTTCATTATAAACGGTTCTGCACATTCGGCTGATCACTCTCTGCACGTTCAACACTGCGAGCGACCCCTTGTGGCACACTTTGGCATTGTATTACATCATCGTTATAAGTGTGAAATATTGATTATAATCGCTTTAGTGTGAATGTGAACATTCGCACCGGCTCCTCGCACTCTGTTTCCCCCCACACGCAGTGAACGCAGCAGGAGATAAAGTGGCAGGCGGTGTCTTGGGGAGTTCGCCGTTATGTCATCCACCAATCAGAGGCGGCGGCTGCGGCCACAACGCAGGTTCGTGCGGCGCCATATTGGATATTCCTCCTCTTACTGGTTCTTCCCGGTACGTCTGCCTGTTCTTATCGTCCAGCCTCTGGGCGTCTCTGCTCCGCGGGCACAGGTATGAGGGATGCGAGCGACGCACCGCGCTGTCACCAACGTACGCTCCGCAGCGCTTTGTTCCTCGGGGCAGCGGCACCTCGTTACCGGGCGGAGGAATCAGGTTAGAGACGCACCTGAGGAGCGGGGCTGAGGAAGTGGCATGCAGGTTGAGGAAGAAATAATTGGATTGAGATAACTCCACCGAGGCAGTGAGTATTGTTCTCTTCCTTGTGTGTTAAAGCGCATAAACAACTTTGACTCTGTGTTTGCTTGCGGAGTGAGGGGGGTGGGGTGTTTTTCTAAGTGATCACCTGCTGTGGACGTTTCACGCCGGGACACATTCTCAGTTTCACGTGTTTCACTGGTCGACTGACTCCCACACTCACAGATCAGTGAAGACAGCGGTCTGATGTTCCACCATCCTGCTGTAGACACGTTGTCCTCCCACTGTTCCCTGTCTGTTTCCAACAGTGGCTCATCTCCTCACTGTACAACACAGAAAGGGTTTTTAATAGTTTACTCTAAACTGTCTGCTACCCTTCTTTTTGTCTATGCCTGAAACTTAACATTCAGTACAATGCAGTGTGTTACTATACAGTCTTAGTCTGCAGTAATATCTAGATGTATTACTATTCAATAATATATACTGCTTTGCTAAATAGTTATAAACTATACACTGATATACAGTAATGTGTAAATATCTTGCTATACAGTAATATATATTAATTTATATCAATATAATATACTGCATGATAAAGATATCTGACTATATGGTTATAAACTATACAATAATATATAGATGTCCTACTGTATATCCTTACTACACAGTAATATACAGATGTCTTAATCTATAGTGATGTATAGATTTCTTACTATTCAGTCTTACAATACAGTAATACATAGATGTTTTACAATTCAGTAAAATATATACTGTATGTCTTGCTGTATAATAATAAACTACACAGTAATATATAGATGTCCTGCTACAGTGTTATTATGCAGTACTGTATAAATGTCTTGCTATATAGTCATATATGTATTAATTTATATTATATAATACACAGCATATTATAGATATCTTATTATGTGGTAATATACTATACAGTAATAAATAGATGTTTACTACCTAGTAATTTACAATACAGTAATATATATTTATCCTACTATACAGCAATATATAGGTGTCTTACTACTATATACACGCAGTACCGTGGCTTTCATCACATGGTTCAGTTCATTAATCCACTGTCAGAGGAATGGCACTATATACTCAAGACATAGTTCCTGTTGCCTGGATCCTCCCCTGTGGGTCTTGGCCCCTCCCTGTCCTGGGGCCTCCCCAAGCACAAAGGTTTTTGTGGCTTCATGTTGCCGGCAGCTGTGGCCAGAGGTGTCGTCCCTCCCATCCTCCTGAAGGTGATATCTCATTAGCATCTTGAGGAAATTTCTTCAAATTTCACTTGGACTTAAGGAAGAACTCATTATAATTAAGAAGACAAATGTCAGTGGTTTCCCAGATCACAGTTTGGCAACAAGTCAAGCTTATACATGTTAAAGGTTCAGTGTTTAGTGGTGAAGTTGCATGTTGCAGCTGAATACCCCTCAGCCCACCCTCCCCTTCCAAACATGAGAGAGAACCTGTGGCAGCCCTCAAAAGGTGTTTACTTTGTCCAGTCCGGGCTTCTGTAAAAAAACATGGCGGCCTCTGTAGAAAGGACCCCCTCGATGTAAATATAAAGTATTGAAATATAAAGGGTAAAAAAAACAATGAGTACAAATTAGATCAAACACATTAGTGAAAACCTCACTAGGATTATTTTAAATTAAATTTCTGGCAATAGATCTCTTTCATCTAAATCTTACACACTGAACCTTTAATTAGGACCAACTTGAACACAAACTTCTAATGGGATAATTTTTGGATACTTTTTATATGTAAAAGTCAAAGGTCAACTTCACAGTGACATGATAAAGTTCTGCAAAAACACTTTTCTGGCCATTACTCAACTCCATAACTCTGAAACAGAAGGGGAGACTATGGCCATATTGATTGCCACTTAAATGGTTGACAGTATGGAAGGAGGCCCTCCAAAGCTAAATTCAACAGTAAAACTTTACAGAAGCCCAGCGATGCAAACCCATGATTTGAGGAGGAGCAGTATCAACCACTCTTGACTAATAACATCTAGCGTGTGGGGCGTCTTCATGGCAGACAGTCTGTCTTGTTACAAGAGGAAAGGCACAAGTTGATAATAATAACATTAGCAATGACTCAGTTCTATTCAGGTGTCCCTGTAAGCCTTGACAACAGGACAGTGAGCCAGCCTGAACAACACCAGGACAACTGAAACTGAAGCAGCCTAATGTAATTCAGCCATCGTTCATGTTATTATTTACATCCGTGCTTCCCCACTGTGACGCGTCTTATGTCTTCTTAGAAAAGGCCTGTTGTAGACTGTTTGAGTGTCAAAATGTTGATGTAATATATAGATGTATTAGACAGGGTAATAGCAGTTTTCAGTGCTTAACTATGAAATGTGTGCGTGCCAAACATCTAGATGAGTGAGAACAGTTGGTGGACTCACAATCAGCCTGCACTGTTCCTGTAATAACAGGTTGTTGTAAGTCTTAATTTAGCACAGTCTTGGCTCGGGGCTTAAACCAAATTAAAGTCTAACTGAATGAATCGAGACAGGAAGGTGAGGGGAAGTGAAAGCTGACTTTAGCACGGCATGTGTTAAATGATGGTGCACACTCAGCAGTGCCTTCACAAAGTTACACATTCACACTTTGTACAGCTGGGGGTTGAAAATGCTACTCTAACAGCTTTAGCAGGGTAGTACGACATGGCTATCCACTTCAGGCTGATTGCTTTTGGATGTGTCCCAGAAAAGTTTAACTTGCTGGTGCACATTTGTGCTCCAGAGGGTTATTATCTTTTTTTGTTTCCTGAATTTTTACCCACAGCAAAAGGGCACAGTGTTGAAAGTAATCACAAAGGAATGTCTGTCTCGATGTTGAAAGTCTAAACAGAGGAATTTAACAACAATGTAAAATATGGATTCAGTTAGTCATTATGAATACGGATAAATTTTTTGTATATTTGTTTCTTCTGTAAAATGTCATAAAACTGAGAAAAATGTCCATCCAACCATGTAAAACAATGTGAGGATATTCCATCTACAGGGATAGAAAAGAATAATTTATTGTTTTGTATGTTAATGTAATATACAGTTAATTTAAGTGCAGAATACTCACTACATTAACTGACCCTTTGTGTGTTGTAGAGATGTTCACGCTCACGGAGGTTGCGTCCTTGAATGACATTCAGCCGACATACCGCATCCTAAAGCCATGGTGGGACGTCTTCATGGACTACCTGGGGCTAGTCATGCTCATGCTGGCCATATTCGCCATGACCATGCAGATCACTAAGGACCAGGTGGCATGCCTTCCTTGTCTGGAGGACCCAGACGAGGCCTCAGGAGCTAAACCTGACTCGTTCCCTCAGCAGCCCGCACAAGAAACAGCCTCAGCTGCATCCACCGGGGCCCCAGTGGTATCAACCATCCCCTACATCACCAAGGATTTACCGGATGAAGCCGTCCACGAGATCCATGTCACACACCAACATACTGCGGTAATGTCTGACAAATATGCCAATCAACCTGCACCAACAGGGATCAGGACCAATCTGGACTATCAACAGTATATCTTCGTCAACCAAATATGTTACCACGTTGCCTTGCCCTGGTACTCCAAGTACTTTCCATACCTCACGCTCATCCACACTATTGTTCTCATGGTCAGTAGCAACTTTTGGTTCAAATACCCCAAAACAAGCTCGAAGATTGAGCATTTTGTTTCTATTCTGGGCAGATGCTTTGAGTCTCCCTGGACAACCAAGGCTTTGTCTGAAACTGCTTGCGAGGACTCGGAGGAAAACAAGCAGAGGCTGACCGGCACCTCCTCAGTACCAAAACAGGTATCTTTAGAGGGGAAGGACGAGAGCACGAGCGTCACCTCATCCACTCCCATGCTTGGGGTGAAGTTTTCTGCAGATAAGCCCATAGCGGAGGTCCCTAGTAGTATGACAATCCTGGACAAAAAAGATGGGGAGCAGGCAAAAGCCTTATTTGAGAAAGTGAGAAAATTCAGAGCTCATGTGGAGGACAGCGACTTCATCTACAAGCTTTATGTAGCACAGACCATTGTCAAAACCGTTAAGTTTATTTTGATATTGTCCTACACTTCAACCTTTATGGCTAAGATTAATTTTAAGCACAACTGTGAGCCTGATATCAAACAGCTCACAGGATACAGACTGTTCTACTGTACACACAACATGGCGTTCATGCTGAACAAGCTGCTGATCAGCTACATGGCTTTGATTTTGATCTATGGCATGGCGTGCTTGTACTCACTTTTCTGGGTGTTTCGGCGACCCTTGAAAGAGTACTCGTTCGAGAAGGTCAGGGAGGAGAGCAGCTTTAGTGACATTCCTGATGTCAAGAACGACTTTGCATTCCTCTTACACATGGTTGACCAATATGACCAACTCTACTCCAAGCGCTTCGGGGTCTTCTTGTCTGAGGTCAGTGAAAACAAGCTGAGGGAGATCAGCCTCAATCATGAGTGGACCTTTGAAAAGTTGAGGCAGCTTGTGAGCCGTAACACACAGGACCAGCAGGAGCTGCACCTTTTCATGATCTCCGGACTCCCCAATGCAGTGTTTGACCTCACAGACTTGGAGGTGCTTAAACTGGAGCTGATTCCTGAGGTGCGGTTCTCTGCAAAAGTCTCTCAGATGACCAGCCTGCAGGAGCTTCATCTCTGCCACTGCCCGGCCAAAGTAGAGCAGACAGGCTTTGCTTTCCTCCGTGACCATCTTCGCTGCCTTCACGTCAAATTCACAGATGTTGCAGAGATCCCCACTTGGGTGTATCTGCTAAGGAGTTTGAGGGAGCTAAACCTCATCGGCAACTTGAGCTCGGAAAATAATAAAATGATTGGTCTTGAGTCCATGCGAGATTTGAGGCATTTAAAGACATTATGCCTGAAGAGCAACCTCACTAAAATGCCCACAAACATCACAGAGCTTTCGCCACACTTAATAAAATTAGTCGTGCACAACGATGGTACGAAACTGGTGGTACTCAATAGTCTAAAAAAGATGACAAGTCTGATTGAACTGGAGCTGCAGAGCTGCGAACTAGAGAGGATTCCCCACGCTATTTTCAGCCTGACCAACTTACAGGAGCTTGACCTTAAATCTAACAACATCCGCACCATAGAGGAGATCATCAGCTTCCAGCACATCAAGAGGCTGACGTGCCTGAAACTGTGGCACAACAAAATAATCACCATCCCATCCTCCATCGGGCAGGTCAAATCCCTGGAGTCACTCCACCTCTCGCACAATAAGCTGGAGTCTTTGCCTCCGGCCTTGTTCACACTACCCAAACTGCGACACTTGGATGTCGGCCACAACTCCATCTCGGTGTTGCCTCCAGATATCGGCCTCCTCTACAACCTCCAGCACCTGGCCATCAACTCCAACAAGCTGGAAGTGCTGCCCAAGCCTCTGTTCAGGTGCACCAAGCTGAAGGTGCTGTGTCTGGGGTACAATGAGCTCCAAGTGCTGCCGGAGACCGTGGGTCAGCTGGTGCAGCTCACTCAGCTGGAGCTCAGAGGAAACTGTCTGGACAGGCTGCCCGCCCTGCTTGGAAACTGCCGCCTGCTGCGCAAAAACGGCCTGGTTGTGGAGGACCACCTCTTTGACACACTGCCTGGGGAAGTCAAGGAGAGCATCAGCCGAGAGACCAACGTGTCCTTCACGAGTGGCTTATAGCACAGGAACACAGACAGGCCTGCAGCTCTGGTGGTTCTTAAAATGTCAGTGTAACGGATGGAAAATACTTTTTATTATTGTAATATCAACCAAAATTAATGCATTTTCTTGATTGTTTTTCATGGGTTGTATTTGCTGATGTAGAACAAAACATATTCCATTTTTTTGTTGCTGAGTATGTGTCTAATTGAGCAGTTTGTTTTTGCCTTTAGCTTTTTCATAGCTTTCATAGAGGAATTGAAATTTAGCTCCTTTATAGACCAACACTGTTTGCTCCAGTGACACAGTATGTAGACGTATCATTGTTTTAGGTACTCAGGTATAATTGTTACCATGGGGAACAATCTTTTGCCTTACCTGCTGCTACACACGCTTAAGGCCAAATAGAAATATTAAATTCTTTCTTGTTAGTTTTTATCCACATAACAATTTCTTTGTTGGGAAAGCAGACACAATACAGTGGTCTTTTCTTGGTTTTATTTAACTTTTGTTGAATTGATATAACCTTTATTTTCCTTGATGTCTTATAGCAAATTGAATGAGCATATGGTTGTAAACCTCAGGTGGAGACTAAGCACCAGAAATAAACCTTTACTGTTGTAGAGATTGTATACATAGGCCTATAGCACTACAAATAATCACCATCCCATCCTCCATCGGGCAGGTCAAATCCCTGGAGTCTCTCCACCTCTCGCACAATAAGCTGGAGTCTTTGCCTCCGGCCTTGTTCACACTACCCAAACTGAGACACTTGGATGTCGGCCACAACTCCATCTTGGTGCTGCCTCCAGATATCAACCTCCTCCACAACCTCCAGCACCTGGCCATCAACTCCAACAAGCTGAAAGTGCTGCCCAAGCCTCTGTTCAGGTGCACCAAGCTGAAGGTGCTGTGTCTTGGGTACAACGAGCTCCAAGTGCTGCCGTAGACCGTGGGTTAGCTGGTGCAGCTCACTCAGCTGGAGCTCAGAGGAAACTGTCTGGACAGGCTGCTCTCCCTGCCACCTGCTGCGCAAAAACGGCCTGGTTGTGGAGGACCACCTCTTTGACACACTGCAAGTCAAGGAGAGCATCAGCCGAGAGACCAACATGTCCTTCATGAGTGGCTTATAGCACAGGAACACAGACAGGCCTGCAGCTCTGGTGGTTCTTAAAATGTCAGTGTAACGGATGGAAAATACTTTTTATTATTGTAATATCAACCAAAATTAATGCATTTTCTTGATTGTTTTTCATGGGTTGTATTTGCTGATGTAGAACAACACATATTCCATTTTTTTGTTGCTGAGTATGTGTCTAATTCAGCAGTTTGTTTTTGCCTTTAGCTTTTTCATAGCTTTCATAGAGGAATTGAAATTTAGCTCCTTTATAGACCAAAACTTGCTCCAGTGACACAGTATGTAGAAGTATCATTGTTTTAGGTACTCAGGTATAATTGTTACCATGGGGAACAATCTTTTGCCTTAACTGCTGCTATTTTGTAAAGTGAAGGCTTTCACAAACTTAAGGCCAAATAGAAATATTTAATTTCATCCTTGTTGGTCCACATAATGTCTTTACATTGTGGACTCAGACACAAAGCAGTGGTCCTTTCTTGGTTTTATTTTTACTTTTGTTGAATTGATACAATCTTTATTTTCCTTGATGTCTTATAGCAGATAGAATGAGCTTAGAGTTGTAAACTCAGGTGGAGACTAAGCACCAGAAATGAACCTTTACTGTTGTAGAGATTGTATACATAGGCCTATAGTAATTCATTTGCCCAATGAGAACACAATGATTTAAAGATCAGTGACTTTCTTTTGTGACAACATGTTCTATGACTAATGTCAGCTGATAAAAGGGAAATCTGTTCACCACCTTTTGATGCTTTAAAATTTGAAATGTGAGTCAAAACCACTCACTGGCATGTTTGACTATCTCACAGAAGTATGTGATTACAATTAACATGTCTGCCTTCTTTCTTCACAATGTATTTCTGTATATATGTGCTCCTCTGAGCTGCTGTACCACCTCGGTGATCCTGTGCTCGAAGTTCACAAGTTTATGGCACAATAAAACAAGATTTCAGATGAACGTCTAATCATTATTCATCCACTTCAAGTGCATGCCACTGAACAATACTGCTGCCAGAAGAACTCTGACACAGAATGCTTGTTTTTGGAGTTGACACAGCAAAGTTGGGCATTTGTATATTATAAAAAATAATTAATTCTTCTGTTTTTTGAGAGAATCAGATTCACAGGCCTCATTACAGCAGTTGTACTGGTGAAGCTAATAACATTAACATGGGCTCCGTCAACATTTATTGCAATGCAATAATTGACCGTGTCTAATTACTCTTGTGTTTGCAGAAGTTTCACATTTTACCCTTGAACAAACTATTGTCCACAAGTTCCCTTGTTTCCTGTCAACAAAATAAAGTTTTTTTTCATGTTCCCCGGGACTCTGTACAAAGAGCCCTTTGTTAAGGTTCTTTTGTCAGAGTGTGGATGAGGTTACTGTGACTTCAACTGTTCACAGTGATGAGCATCATGCTGCTAACCTGCTAATTACATCTGCCAAGTTTGTATGTTTGTCTGTTAGCCAGCAGCATTACACTAAAACCACTGGACAGATTACCATGAGACTTAGTGGAAGGATGGGACATGGGAAAAGACAGAACATGTTCAGTTTTGGCGAGGATTCGATTGAGGGCGTGTTTTTGGAAATTTTCACTAATTTCCCAGATATAAACTCATCGATCTATATGGAAAAAACTAGACATGTTTAGAGGACTGATATTTATGTGTGTGTGCAATTTAGTGTGGATCCAGATAAAGATTTAAATCTAGTGAATTTAAATGTGGTTCCATAAGGGAATTATCTGGCCTTGGCTGAGATGTGTGCATCCTAGTTCTATAATGTTAAACCAGTCCATATAATGTATTTCCAGTTCTCTGATGCCTTTGTCTTGATCTTCTGGTTTGTGAGACTTAACCCACATGATCCGTAATCTTTTGCACCAGATGTCCCCTGAGTTCATCCATCCGTATATGATCCTATAGATTCTGCCAAGTTTAAGAATTCCATTAGACCAGCCAGTCCTCCAATACGTGTGTTGGATTCGATCGGGAACTCGTGATGATCCTGTGCAAACCAGTGGCACTGTTAATGTGAGTGAGGAAAAATATCCTAATTGTTGCTGAGTAGTTATTGACCAGGTCAGAGAGGTCAAGCCTACTATCCATGTGTGTGTTGCCTTCTTTTCGACACTCTAACTGAGGACCTTGCAGAAAGATTCAGAATAATTGAACTCTTCAGAGAATTTGCAGCACAATGTGGTGATATCCTTTCCTGGCTCTGAAGGTGTTAGCACAAACTGTGGTTTATTCTGTCTGACTATGTTTACACTCATTCACTCTGTTATCAGCAGTCCCCTCTGGGAGGGTTTGTGAAATTATACTTTAAACATTCAGTTGTATGCCTTTATTAATTTATTAATAGTCAGTTTATTCATAGATTTTAACATAATGGTGCATTTTTGTTCTAACTGAGCATGTATAATACTTCTACATCATTTGCAGTCGTTTCCAAAGCTGGGCCAACCCCCCCAGGGGGGGGTCAAGAGTAAAAAACAACAACCCAAGCAACAGCTGTTCAAGATCATTTAGAGAAGCACAAAGATATTTAGGAAAATGCAAATGTGACAAAAGTTGCTGTGATATAGGAGTCACTTTAAGGCCTTTGTACCTTTTGTGGTGTGTATTTTTAAACATTGTCAATAAAATGACCCCTAACCAACAGACTGACGATCAATGAAGAGCCCGAGGCCCAGGGTTACAGCAAACCAGCCAGCAAGCCTCACTCTTATCCCACTCACTAAGAGCATGGCAGCATTAATGTTCATAAAGTTCTAATTACAGTGTGATTTCACATGGACATTTTCATCCTGTTTATTCTTTAAAAAATAAAACATTCTGATTGTCGCTCTTGCCCCTGTGGGTTTGTTCATACTACAGTCAGGGCCGTGGCCTGTATTTTAGAAATACTGTAGAAATCATGAGTCATAGTTAGCTATTCTGAATATATTTTCCCAACAATCAATCCTCACAGTTAATATCAGATTCCATTCTTTTGAAGGAACTCTAGATGGGACTT